TTCTCTCCCCATCTCCCCCCCCCCTCCCACCGAACAGTTTCGTCCTTAGTTGTATAATCATATGTTCTTTCTCTTAAGTATCACCCACCCACCCCAAACAGACCGCCCCCGGGGAGGGGGTGCCCCCCCCCGCGGTGGAGAGAGGTCTCCCCCCCCCCCCTATCTCTATCTTTCTCTCTCTCTCAGAAACATACACAAACACACACACACACACACACATGCATACACATACACACACACACTCACACACACGCACGTACACACATGTACACACACACACACACACACACACACACACACACACACACACACACACATTCGTGCAAGGACACACACACTGTCAAACACAGACACATTCATACATGTAACTGTTTGTCTGTCTGTCTGTCTGTCACGTGTGTGTATGTGTATGTGGGTACATGTGTGTGTGTGTGTGTGTGTGTGTGTGTGTGTGTGTGTATGTGTGTGTGTGTGTGTGTGTGTGTGTGTATGTGTGTGTGTGTGTGCATGTGCACATTTGTGTGCATGTGTGTATGTGTCTATGTATGTGTATGTGTATGTGTAGGTGTATGTGTGTACTTATGTGTGAGTGTGTGTGTGTGTGTGTGTGTGTGTGTGTGTGTGTGTGTGTGTGTGAGAGAGAGAAAGAGAAAAAAAGAGAGACATAGAGAGAGGGAAAGAGAGAGAGAGAGAGACACACAGAGAGAGAGAGAGAGAGAGAGAGAGACACAGAGAGAGGAGGAGGAAGAAAAGCAGAAAGGTTTGTATTACAACAAAAGTCTATGATCGTGCACTCCGCGGTACTTCCAGTTCTATTTGGCACCATTTGGCACTATTTGGAACCAAATGAAAGGCAAGGAGGGAAAGCTTGCGTGAGCTCTCAACAATAGCGAGACTGCGGCGTTTTGCCCATTCACACGTCCATGGTGCGCACCAGCGCAATGAAGGGCCGTGACAGGGACCGGTCTTTTTTTTTTTTTTTTTTTGGTAAGTGTTTTACGGCGGTCGCAACTGCATGAGGTCAAATAAGCGCGCCGTACGCGCCTAATATTTTCAGTTGGTAGGAAGTTTTTGAATTTTACCCGGGTGGCGGCCGAAGACTACTCTTATCGATTTAAGACCACCAAGGGATCTTTAACGTGCGAAACTTGCACTCGGGCCCTCAGAGATTTTTCGCCCTGGTCCGACAAGGCAGGGTGCAGACTTTCCTATCAGAAGATCAGGGGTATGGCTAAAAGACAGCAGTTAGAAGGAGCCAAGGAGTAGCAGTAGAAAGGCTGCAGAAAGAGTCAGAAGCCTAGATGAAGGGGCAAAGGAGGTGAGGGGGCGGGGGCAGAAAGAGGAGACGAAAGCAAACGACACAACATTGCTAGAAAGCAGGAAAGGTGCA